GTGAGGTAAAACCTCATTGTGGTTTTGATTTGCATTTCTTTGACATCTGGTGATCCTGAGCATTTTTTCATGTATCTGTTGGCCATTTGGATTTCCTCTTTTGAAAAATATCTGTTTAAGTCCTTAGCCTGTTACTTCACTGGGTTGTTTGTTTTGCTGTTGTTGAGTTTCTTGATCTCTTTATATATTCTGATTATTAATCCTTTATCATCAGTTGCGTAGTTTGCAAATACTTTCTCCCATTCTGTCGGTTGCCTTTTCACTTTGCTGAGTGTTTCTTTTGCAGTGCTGAAGCTTCTCAATTTGATGTAATCCCATTTTTCAGTTTTGGCTTTGATTGCCTGTGCCTCTGAGGTCTTTTCCAAGAACTCTTTGTCTATGTCAATGTCTTGTAGTGTTTCCCCAATGTTCCCTAATAATTTGGTGGTATCAGGTCGTAGATTTAGGTCTTTAACCTACTTTGAGTGGATTTTTGTGTAAGGTGTAGCTTCATACTAATGCAGGTGGAGATTCAGTTTTCCGAGCACCATTTGTTGAAGAGACTGTCCTTGCTCCAGGGATTGATTTTAGCTCCTTTATCAAAGATAATTTGCTTGTAGATGCGTAGATTGATTTCTGGTCTGTTCTGTCTCACCAATTTATCTATCTGTTTTTGTACAAGTACCAGGCTGTTTTGATTATAACTGTTGTGTAGTATGTCTTGAAATCTGGTATTGTGATGCCTCTGGCTATGTTTTTATTGTATAGGATTGCTTTTTGCTATTTGACTTTCTTGTGTTTCCATATGAATTTCAGCATCATTGTTTCTATATCTGAGAAGAACGTCCTTGGTGTTTTGATTGGTACCTTAAGTATTTCTTAAGAACCTCTACCTGTGTTCGATTTTAAGGCTTTTTGTTTTGTTTTGTTTTGTTTTACAGTTGCTTTTGAATATGTTAATCAAGTGTTCTGTATCCTATTTCTTTATTAAAAAAAACTTTATGGAAAATTTCAAAACATAACCAGAATAGAAAGAAAAGCATAAGAAATTGCCTTGCAGTCTTCACCCAACTTCAGCAATTAATATATATATATATATATTTTTTTTTTTTTTTGGACAGGCAGAGTGGATAGTGAGAGAGAGAGATAGAGAGAAAGGTCTTCCTTTTGCCGTTGGTTCACCCTCCAATGGCTGCCACAGCTGGTGCTCTGCGACTGGCGCACTGCGCTGATCCGAAGGCAGGAGCCAGGTGCTTCTCTTGGTCTCCCATGGGGTGCAGGGCCCAAGCACTTGGGCCATCCTCCACTGCCTTCCCGGGCCACAGCAGAGAGCTGGCCTGGAAGAGGGGCAACCGGGACAGAATCCGGCGCCCCGACCGGGACTAGAACTCGGTGTGCCGGTGCCGCTAGGTGGAGGATTAGCCTATTGAGCCGCGGCGCCGGCCAGCAATTAATATTTTTAAAAAGATATATTTATTATTTGAAAGCAGAGTGACAGAGACAGGGAGAGCCACACACACACACACACACACACACACACGGAGGCAGGGGAGTAGGGGAGGGGAGAGATCAATCTTCCCTTTGCTAGTTCACTCTCCAAATGCCCACAATAGCCAGGCCTGAGCCAGGCCAAAGTCAGGAGCCAAGAATCCCATCTTAGTCTCCTACTTGGGTAGGAGGAACTGAAGTCCTTGGGCCATCATTTCCTGCTTCTCAGGCGCATTAGCAGGAAGTTGGATTGGAAATACACAGCAACTGAGACTTTAACTGGTATGCTGGTATGGGATACAGGTGTCTCAAGTGGTGACTTAACCACCTGTTTCCATCTGTGAATGCCATAGCGCTTTTCTGACTCATTTGTTGAAGAAACCAGGTTCTTTGGAATTGGCTGATTGATTCTTTGTTATTCTTTTATTCGATCTTCTAATCCTTGAATTTCCTATGAACTATTTTCTAGATGTAGAGGATTGATTAGATTCAGATTCAGTTGTATTTTGGCAAGTGTGCCTCATAAGTGATGCTGTATATCTTCAGTTACATCCTATCAGGAGGCACATAAATTTTGATTATCTTATTACTGGTGATGTTAAGATTGATGAATGAGTTCAGATAGTGTCATCAGACTGATCCTTTAGAGTTTCTCGCAACTTTTACCCAGTGATTTTGGCAGACATTCTGTACATACTTCTTTTTCAGCATTAAAAGTGTTAAATTACTGTAGCTATTTTTCTTCAGCCTTCCACTTCATTTTTCCATCAATAATGTATAAGATCACATTAAAAGTGAAGGAATTTTGTTTAATGATTCAGAGCTTGACTAATAAACTTGCTTGTATCCTAAATTTATGTGGTTGTAAAAATATTTTAAAATTTGGTCGGCGCTGCGACTCATTTGGCTAATCCTCCGCCTGCGGCGCCGGCATCCCAGGTTCTAGTCCCAGTTGGGGTGCCGGATTCTGTCCCGGTTGCTCCTCTTCCAGGCCAGCTCTCTGCTGTGGCCTGGGAGTGCCGTGGAGGATGGCCCAGGTCCTTGGGCCCTGCACCTGCAGGGGAGACCAGGAGGAATCACCTGGCTCCTGGCTTCTGATCGGTTGGCCACAGCACGCCGGCTGTAGCGGCCATTTGGAGGGTGAAACAATGGAAGACCTTTCTCTCTGTCTCTCTCACACTGTCTAAATCTGCATGTCAAAAAAAATTATTTTGAAATCTATGCATAGTTTTTTCAGAATACACGCTTTCCATTAACTTTTTGAAGGTCTTGTATGTGTGTGTGTGTGTGTGTGTGTTAATCAAATGAGTTTAAGAGTCAGTCTGGCTGGGGCCAGCACTATGGTATAGCAGGTAAAGCCACCGCCTGTGACATTGGCATCCCATTAGTGCTGGTTTGAGTCCTGGCTGCTCTACTTCTGATCCATCTCCCTGCTAATATGCCTGGGAAAGCATCGGAAGATGGCCCAAGTATTTGGGCCCTGTCACTCATGTGGGAGACCCAGTGGGAGACCAGAAGAAGCTCCTGGCTTCAGCCTGGCCCAGCCCAACGCCGGCCATTTTGGCTATTTGAGGAGTAAACCAGTGATTGGAAGTCTCTCTCTCTCTCTCTCTCTCTTTCTTTGTAACTCTTTCAAAAAAAAAAAAAAAACAAAAAAAACAATAAATCTTAAAAAATAAAAGAAAAAAAAGCATCGATCTGTTTGGATCAGTGGCCTAGAAATTATGTCTTTGTTTCCTGTGTAGTGGTGCTAGCTTAACTTCAGTGCTCTGCTTTTTGGGGAGCAATCAAGGGATACTGCTGAAGAAACAATGCAACTCAAATTTGCTGTGAACGTTACTTCTGAGGCTCTTAAAGAACTTTCTGTTTGTCAGTTTTTGGCTCTTCAGAAGACTATTGTGAATCATTTTGAGTATTTGGTCAAATGTTATAAAGTTTGTTTTGAGTAATGAGCTTAAAAGAATATGCAGTTCTTAACTTTTTAGGAACACACATAGTACTCAAACAGTACTTTACACTTTGTGTTTCTGTGTGGGTGCAAAGTGTTGAAATCTTCACTTAATGTATACTAAATTGATCTTCTGTATATAAAAATAATTGAAAATGAATCTTGATGTGAATGGAATGGGAGAAGGAGCAGGAGATGAGAGGGAAGTTATCGGGGGGAAAAGCCACTGTAATCCAAAAGCTGTACTTTGGAAATTTATATTTATTAAATAAAATTTTTTTCTTTTTTTTATTTTTTTTAACTTTTATTTAATGAATATAAATTTCCAAAGTATGGCTTATGGATTACAATGGCTTCCCTCCCATAACGTCCCTCCCACCCGCAACCCTCCCCTTTCCCACTCCCTCTCCCCTTCCATTCACATGAGGATTCATTTTCGATTCTCTTTATATACAGAAGATCAGTTTAGCATGCATTAAGTAAAGATTTCAACAGTTTGCTCACACACAGAAACATAGAGTGAAAAATAATAGATGATTTTTTAAATGATGATGAAATCAGATCAGACCTATTGTCATGTTTAATCCCAGTGAGAGTCAAGTTGGGAATTGATAATTTCTTCTTCTTCTTCTTCTTTTTTTTTTTTTTTTTTTACAGAAGATCAGTTTAGTATACATTAAGTAAAGATTTCAACAGTTTGCACCCCCATAAGAAACACAAAGTGAAATATACTGTTTGAGTACTTGTTATAGCATTAAGTCTCAATGTACAGCACATTAAGGACAGAGATCCTACATGAGGAGTAAGTGCACAGTGACTCCTGTTGTTGACTTTACAAATTGACACTCCTATTTATGGCATCAGTAATCTCCCTATGCACCAGTCATGAGTTTCCAAGGCTATGGAAGCCCCTTGAGTTCTCTCTTATCTTGTTTAGACAAGGTCATAGTCAAAGTGGAGGTTCTCTCCTCCCTTCCGAGAAAGGTACCTTCTTCTTTGAAGACCTGTTCTTTCCACTGGGATCTCACTCACAGAGATCTTTCATTTAGTTTTTTTTTTTTTTTTTTTTTTTTTTTGCCAGAGTGTCTTGGCTTTCCATGCCTGAAATACTCTCATGGGCTTTTCAGCCAGATTGGAATGCCTTTAGGGCTGATTCTGAGGCCAGAGTGCTGTGAGGACATTTGCCATTCTATGAGTCTGCTGAGTATCTCGCTTCCCATGTTGGATCGCTCTCCCCTTTATTTTAAATAAAAATTTTTAAAAAAAGGAATACAAAAATTTAACATTTTGCATCAAGTTATTTCCTGATAATCTATTTGTATAATTTCTAAGTCTCTTGATTTAAGAATTTTACACTGGGTTTAGAAATTACCTTATAATTCTCAAAAAGTATGTCTTCAGTGATAATTTAATTATGTTAGAAATTATGTTAGAAGGGGCATGCATTTGGTGAATAAGTTTTTTTTTAATGATCTTGTTTAACAGGCTGATAGGTGAAATAATTTTTAAGATTTAAACATAATTAAAAGTACTAACTTCTTTCCTCCTCTTTAAACAAAATTCTTTTCTCAAAAATTTCTGTTAGGTAACAGAAATCCAAGATTGGAGTGCATCAAGCCCACACAGCGCAGCATATGTTCTCTGGGATAATGGTGCTAAGAACCTTTATAGAGTTGGCTTTGAGGGCATGGTAAGTAGTGAAGACCCACAACAGATGAAAATATTGGATGGGTAATGAAAGGAAATAATAGCCCTATTGTGCTTTTTTAATGATTTCCTTTTGTCAAAATGCAATCATCTGAATTATGATTGTATAATAGGAAGGAAATTTGTAAAGTGAGAATTTAATAAACTTGCAAGTTATTTATTTTTATTACGGTTTAAACTATTTAATAGTGAATATGATTTTACCCTCAGTTAATGTTTCGAGTACCTTACTATATACTGACTATGTAGAGCTGATCTCTTATCTTGTAAATATGAGGGATTTATTTACTGAAATCTACCAAAAAGACTAAGGATCATTGGAAAGACTATGCCTTGGAGCAAGTATGTGGAACAGTGTTTAAGTCACTGTAATACTTACATCCCAGATTGTAGTATCTGGTTAGAGTCCCAGCTACTCTGCTTCTGATCCAGCTTCCTGATAATATATACCTTGGGAGGCAGCAGATCATGGATCAAGTATTTGGGACTGTGCTACCCATGTGGGATACTCAGATGGAGTTTCTGGCTTTTGACTTCATCCTGGCCCATTCCTGCTTATTGTAGGCATTCGAGTAGTGAACCAGTAGATGGAAGATCTTTGTCTGTTTCTCTGCTTTTCAACTAAAAAATGAAAAAGAAAAAAAAGACAACTCTTGTCATAGACCTGAAGAAGAGTATTACAATGAGATTTTATCATGTATTTCTATTCTGTGCTCTGAGAGCTTATAACAATTATAGTAGGCATTAAAATTGTTTTTAAGGATATTTTGTTTTTTAAAGAATGTTTTAAAATTTATTTATTTGAGAGGCAGAGAGATGGAGAGAGAGATTTCCTTTTGTCAGAATGCAACCATCTGAATTACGATTCTGCTGGTTCATCTTCCTTCTGCTGGTTTACTCTGCATATGACCACAGTAATTGGAGCAGGACCAGGCCAAAGCTACTGAGGAGCCCAGAACTCAATCTGGGTCTTTCATGCAGGAGGGAAACAAATACTTCAGCCATCACCTGCTTCCTCCCAGGTACACATTAGCAGGAAGCTGGAATTGGGAGCATACATGGGACTCAAAACCAGACACTCTGATATGGGATGTAGGTGTCCCATTTGGTGGCTTAACCACTACACCAAATGCCTGCCCTGTGTTTTTTAAAATATAGTATAGATAACTGAAAATGATTGGCCTAGCAACATCTATAATTACTTGAGTGTTTATGAGAATGATAGAGATTTATTCAATGGATTACCTTATATTTCAGCTTTTCACGAATCATTACTTGAATATTGGCCTTGTTCTTTTATTTATTTATTTTAATTTTTTTTAAAGATTTATTTTATTTATTTAAAAGACAGAGTTACAGAGAGAGGTAGAGACAGAGAGAGTGTCCATCCACTGGTTCACTCCCCAGATGGCCCTGCAATGGCCGGAGCTGCGCCAATCTGAAGCCAGGAGCCAGGAGCTTCTTCCGGGTCTTCCACATGGGTGCAGAGGCTCAAGGACTTGGGCCATCTTCTGCTGCTTTCCCAGGCCATAGCAGAGAGCTGATTCGGAAGTGGAGCAGCCAGGACTGGAACTCGTGCCCATATGGGATGCTGGCACTGTAGGCAGCAGCTTTACCCCCTGTGCCACAGTGCCAGCCTCACAAAGAATTCTTTAAATTTCCTTTTTTATCACTTGTGTCCTCCATTAGGAAATGAGGAAAATATCCCATTGTCACCTTAATTCCATTTATATATTCAACCCAGCCATGTGAGTTTAAGCAAATACTTTACTTGCCAATTTTTATCATTGTATTTAACACCAATTGTCAGTTTTTCATTATGTTCATGCCTGTGCCTGTTTTTCAAAAACGTTATTTATTTATTTGAGAGGCAGAGAGAGAGACAGAGAAAAAGACAGATACATCTTCTGTCTGCCAGTTCATTCCCCAAGTGCTTAAGATAACCCGTGCTGGAACAAAGCCAAGAACTCAATTGCGGTCTCCCGTGTGGGAAGCAGGAACCCAAATATTTGAGCTGTTACTGCTGCCTCCCAGGATCTGTATTAGAACGAAGCTGTAAACAGGCATGGAGCTGGGACTCCAACCCAGGTACTCCATTGTGGGTCCCGGCCATCTTAAGTGATGACTTAACTGCTAGGTTAAACACCTGATGCCCTACCCTGCCTGTTTTGTTTTGTTTTCTTACAGATTTATTTATTTCTTTTGAAAAGCAGAGTTACAGAGAGGGAGAGTGGGAGAGATCTTCCATTTGATGTTTCACTCCCCAAAGGCCACAATGGCTAGGGCTGGATGGGTCCCAAGGCTGGAGCCAGGAGCTTCTTCTGGGTTGCCTGTGTGGCTGTAGTGGCCCAAGTACTTGTGCCATCTTCTGCTGCTTTTCTCAAGCACATTAGCAGGAAGCTGGATTAGAAGTAGAGCAGCCAGGACTCAAACTGACCCTGTTTTTAAATTGTGGATTTTTGTAGCATCTGCTTCACATTCGAAGGCTTATGTGCTATATATACTCTGATACCTAATGAGTAGTATATGTAGATTGATAGTTGAGTAATACTCTTTTATAGAGTTATGGTGTTATTTATTTAATAAGATTTCTGTTGATGGCTGTTGGAGTTCTGCCATCCCCCTGCCTCCCCTGTGCTCCTGCTTCCTGCAGTGTGTTTGTAAGCATCTTTGTGTAAATTCTTCATACATTATGGTTATATTTTCATAGGACAGTTTCCTAGAGTAGAACTCCTGGGTTAAAATATCACATTAAAACGATTTGACCCCTCTGTGTTCTTGGTCAGAATTGAGTGACATTTGATGTTCTGATGGCAAAAGTAGCTGTAAAAGAGTATGTATAAAGGAGCTCATTTCCCTAATTGATTAAGATATAGTGACCTCCTACTATATATACCAGGTACCTTTAGGTAAATCTACCTTTAAATGTTCATAATAACACCCAAAGTTGTTGTTCTAAGTCCGTGTATTTTTGGTACTTTTTATTATATCACAAATACTTCTCCGTTTAGATAATTAATTAATTTGTTTTCTTAAAAAAGGTAAGTTGAAAGGAACGTTAGTTAACCAATTTAGGGTAAAATAAGGCCTAAGTTTGATATAAATAGGAAAATTTTTTTTTCTATTTTTTTTAACATTTATTTAATGAATATAAATTTCCAAAGTACGATTTATGGATTACAATGGCTTCCCCCCATACCGTCCCTCCCACCCACTACCCTCCCCTTTCCCACTCCCTCTCCCCTTCCATTCACATCAAGATTCATTTCCGATTATCTTAATATACAGAAGATCAGCTTAGTATACATTAAGTAAGGATTTCAACAGTTTGCTCTCACACAGAAACATAAAGTGAAAAATAATAGATGATTTTTTTTTAAATGATGATGAAATCAGATCAGACCTATTGTCATGTTTAATCCCAGTGAGAGTCAAGTTGGGAGTTGACAATTTCTTTTTTTTTCTTTTTTTTTCTTTTCTTTTCTTTTTTTTTTACAGAGGATCAGTTTAGTATACATTAAGTAAAGATTTCAACAGTTTGCACCCCCATAAAAACACAAAGTGAAATATATTGTTTGAGTACTCGTTATAGCATTAAATCTCAATGCACAGCACATTAAGGACAGAGATCCTACATGAGGAGTAAGTGCACAGTGACTCCTGTTGTTGACTTTACCAATTGACACTCCTGTCTATGGCATCAGTAGTCTCCCTATGCTCCGGTCATGAGTTTCCAAGGCTATGGAAGCCCTCTGAGTTCTCCGACTCTTATCTTGTTTAGACAAGGTCATAGTCAAAGTGGAGGTTCTCTCCTCCCTTCCGAGAAAGGTACCTCCTTCTTTGAAGACCTGTTCTTTCCACTGGGATCTCACTCGCAAAGATCTTTTGCCAGAGTGTCTTGGCTTTCCATGCCTGACAAGGAATCAGAAGACTGGATTTGGTTCAATCCTTTTCACTTTGGACTTTTTTTTTTTTTTTAAAGGTTTATTTATTTATTTGAAAGGTGGAGTTACAGAGAGCAGAGAGAGAGAGAAAGAAGTCTTCCATGTGCTGGTTGACTCCCCAAATGGCTTCAGTGGCTGGAGCTGGGCTGATCTGAAGCCAGGAGCCAGGAGCATCTGTGTCTCCCACATTCATACAGGGGCCCAAGCATTTGAGCCATCTCCCACTGCTTTCCCAGGCCATAGCAGAGAGCTGTATAGGAAGTAGAGCAACTGGGACTTGAACCAACGCCCATATGTGTTGCCATTGATTTCTTAACAATGTTGCAGTGGATTCCTTTCTGAGAGGAACAGCGTGGTGGGGGCAAGAGGCGCGGAGTCACCACACAGACCCCGGAAGTCGGGTGAAAGCAGGCTTGAGGCGAGCAGCCTGCAGACTCGTTTATTTCAGTTGAAACTACATCTTATATAGCCAAGACCAGCCAATCTGGTCAAGGGGCCTGCCAGGCAGTTTGCAAAGCCATCCAAACACAGCCTGCCAGGCAGTTTCCAAAGCTATCCAATCACAGCCTGTTTGTTGCCAGGCAGTTCCAAAGCCATCCAATCACAGCCTGCCAGGCAGTTTCCAAAGCCATCCAATCACAGCCTGTTGCCAGGCAGTTTCCAAAGCCATCCAATCACAGCCTGCCAGGCAGTTTCCAAAGCCATCCAATCACAGCCTGTTGCCAGGCAGTTTCCAAAGCCATCCAATCACAGCCTGTTGCCAGGCAGTTTCCAAAGCCATCCAATCACAGCCTGTTTGTTGCCAGGCAGTTTCCAAAGCCATTCCTGAGTAACTAATGCTCGCTTGCCAGTGGCCACCTTGGCATGGCCCTCTCATTCCACTACACATATGGGATGCTGGCACCACAGGTGGTGGCAACCCCTACTTTGGATTATTGAGTTTTGGATTATTTCCTTTCCTTGTCTTCATTTTCCTTTTATACAAAAGAAATTAGTATTTGCTTTACACTTATATATCTCATAAAGTCTATTTAAGAGATAAAATGAGTTGTTTTGTTTGTTTTTGGTAAAAGTGTCTGAAATGGAAGTATTATATACATTTTAAATGCTAGGTATTTATTGTAGTTCTTTTTAAAAGCATGTGTAAAGATTCAGGTACTTAATCCTGAACTTTAAAGCAAGCTAATGGTACCTAAAATACATCCTGTGTATCTAGAGTCAGGTTTATAGTTTTTGACTGGCGCTTTTTGAAAGCCATGCTTATTGTGATTGGTAACCCAGATGACTGAAGTTGTAGGTATGTTCTGAATGAACACTTTGCCTGTTTCAGGTATTGCCCTGTATTTGAAGTTTTCATGGGTAATTTTTCTGGTTCTTTTCTTCTTAGTCTGATCTGAAGTGTGTCCAGGATGCCAAAGGAGGTTCTTTCTACAGAGATCACTGCCCTGTGCTCGGTGAGTTAGAAGATTAAAGAAAATTTCTGATTAATGGTGAAGAGTCAGTATAATGTTTAAATTGGATTAAAAATTAATTACCATTAAATTACTTAGAGAAATATTTCTTTGGTTTTAAGCTGTTTGTTCTTTTTTTTGATTTATTTAGTGTCAGAAGGGGTATTAAACTCTTTAGAATTGATATACCATTTAGGTCTTAGTATATAATTGAAACCTTAGTTTTTTAATCATAAACTTATATCATTGAAAAATTTTGCATTGCAATACATCAATGTTGTATTCATCCACTTTTGAGAATAGAATTTGACAATTTAGTGATTATATAAATTCTTAGAATTTCTCTAAAATTACTTTCTTAATACAAGAACAGCTTCAAGTTAAGGTAACAATAAATATAATTTCATGTATCATTAAAATAAAAATAGATCAATACTAAATTCATTTTAAATTTTTTATTGTTGTTGGAATGAACATTTCTCACTATTTTCTGATTATATCTTTAGTTTTTGAACGCTTTTCTTTGCTAATGAGCCTTGTGTTTTCCACTTTCCAAGTCATTTTCCTTGTCTTTTTGGTAAAAAATACAATATTCTTGCAGCATACTTTAAATTTTAAAAAAAAATATATATATTTTTTGAAAGGCAGAGTTACATAGGGAGGGAAGAAGAGAGAGAGAGAGTGAGAGAGAGAGAATCTTCCGTCCATCGGTTCACTCCCCAAATGGCTGCAACAGCTGGAACTGAGCCAGTCTGAAGCCAGGAGCCAGGAGCTTCTTCTGGGTCTCCCCTGTGGATGCAGAGGCCCAAGCACTTGGGCCATTTTCCACTGCTTTCCCAGGCGCATTAGCAGGGAACTGGATTGGAAGTGGAGCAGATGGGACTTGAACCTACGCCCGAATGGGATGCCAGTGCTGCAGGTGGCAGCTTAACCTGTTATGCCACAGCACTGGCCCTGTTTTATTCTTTTTTTAAAAAAACTATTTTATTTTACTGTTTCTTTTTTTTTATTTATTTGACAGGTAGAGTTATAGACAGTGAGAGAGAGAGAGACAGAGAGAAAGTTCTTCCTTCCCTCGGTTTACCCCTCAAATGGCTGCTCTGGTTGTAACTGCACTGATCCGAAGCCAGGAGCCAGGTGCTTCTTCCTGGTCTCCCATGCGGGTGCAGGGGCCCAAGCACCTGGGCCATCCTCCACTGCCCTCCCGGTGAGCTGGCCTGGAAGAGGAGCAACCGGAACTACAACCCGTCGCACATATGGGATGCTGGCGCCGCCGGTGGAGGATTAACCGAGTGAGCCACGGCGCCGGCCCCTGGCCCTGTTTTATTCTTAAGAAAAGTAGAATGTAGGAAAAAATACTCATTTTTCTGATGAGGTCAACCATTTTTCTTGTTTTCAGAAACTTTCTTGTTTTATGTCTTGTATTCATTAGAAAAATGTGGGATCAACATGCATTTTTTGGATCCCTCAGTCTAGTATTTGATGATCATGAATCATTTAACTCAGAACTAGTTTCTGAAAGTAATCTATGGGGTAGACTTTGGAATAGTTACAAGTGGGGCTGGTGACGCTGAGGTCCCATGCTGATACTGGTTCGAAGCCTGGCTGCCACACTTCTTCTTTTTTTTTTTTTTTTTAATTTGACAGGCAGAGTCAGACAGTGAGAGAGAGGCAGAGAGAAAGGTCTTCCCTCTGCTGGTTCACCCCCCAAATGGCCGCCATGGCCGGTGCACTGCGCCAATCTGAAGCCAGGAGCCAGGTGCCTCCTCCTGGTCTCCCATGCGGGTACACGGGCTCAAGCACTTGGACCATCCTCCACTACCCTCCCAGGTCACAGCAGAGAGCTGGACTGGAAGAGGAGCAACTGGGACTAGAACCCGGCGCCCAAATGGGATGCCAGCACTGCAGGTGGAGGATTAACCAAGTGGGCACCGGCCCCACTGCTACACTTATCCAGCTCTTTGCTAATGCATCTGGGAAAGGAGTGAGAGATGACCCGAGTGCTTGGGCCCCAGCACCCACATGAGAGACCAGAAGAGGCTCCGCCCTCCTGGCTTCAGCTTCAGCTTGGCCTAGCCCTGGCCACTGTGGCCATTTGGGGAATGAACCAGTGGAGGGAAGATCTCTGTCTCTCCTTCCGTCTTTCTCTCTCTCTCTCTCTCTCTCTAACTCTACCTTTCAAATACATTAAAAAAAAAAAAAAACCTAAAATAAAATAGTTAAAGTACTCTTTAGGCAAAATTAATAATAAACATTTGGGGCTGGTGCTGTGGCATAGCAGTAAAGCCACTGCCTAAAGTGCTGTCATCCCATATAGGTACCGGTTCAAGTCCTGGCTGCTCCACTTCTGATTCAGTTCTCTGCTATGACCTGGGAAAACAGTGGAAGATGGCTCAAGGCCTTGGGCCCCTGCATCTGTGTTGGAGAACTGGAAGAAGTTCCTGGTTCCTGGCTTTGGATCAGTGTAGCTCTGGCCATTATAGCCATATGGGGTGTGATCCTGTAGATGGAAGACCCCCCACCCCTGCCTCTCTGTAACTCTGCCTTTCAAATGAAATAAATAAATCCTTCAAAATAAACACTTATTAATAAATATTTGTACTTCGGAGAAAAAATAACTGAAGGGTTTTTTAAAAAATTTATTGACTTGAGCAGAATGATAGAAAGGAAGAGATGGGGAGAGAGAGATGTTCCATCTTCTGGTTCACTCCCCAGATGACCCCAGTGGCTAGGGTTGGCCCAGGCCAAAGCCAGGAACTTGGAACTTCATCTAGGTCTCCCACATGAGTGACAGGAATTCAAGCACTTGGGCTGTCATCTGCTGCTTTCACTGGTGCGTTATCAGGAAGCTAGATCAAAAGCAGAGTAGCTGGGTCTTGAACTGGCACTTGAGTATTGGATATGGATGTCCTAGGCAATGGCTTTACCTGCTATACCATATCATCTGCTCTGTCCAGGTTAGTTATCGTGATTCTTGTGTAGTGTTGGTTAACAAGTCATCCAGGCAGAGAACTAAATATTTTCAACATCCAGAACTTTGTATTCTGACAGAGTTCAGTAGGCTTTTGATTCTTCTTAGTCTTTGTATAAAATCATTGTGTTATTTCAGTTGTTAAGTCTGATTTTTTTAACTGTCAGTTCTACAGTTTCATATAGTAAATTCTTAAAACATTTTATGATTATATAATACCTAAATATAATACCTAGAGAATATTCTTTTAAAAAATAATTCAGTTTCATGTTATTTCTTTTCTTTCCCTTGAAAATACAGGTGAGCAGAATGGCAACAGGAATCCTGGTGGATTGCAGATTGGTGACCTGGTGAATATAGATCTTGACCTAGAAATTGTACAGTCTTTGCAGCATGGTCATGGAGGATGGACTGATGGAATGTTTGAGACTTTAACTACAACTGGAACTGTTTGCGGCATTGATGAAGATCATGACATTGTAGTACAATATCCAAGCGGCAATAGGTTGGTGATATTTCTCAACTTCTGATAATTGTAAATAAAGTTAGTATATAGAGAAGAGAGCCTTAAAACATACGCTGTAACCATAGATTCATTAAAGGTAGCTCTTAGACGGTAAAAACCTAGAGTACTTTGATAAGGTGGAAGGGAACAGATGGTAAGAATTTTGTGCATTATGTGTATATGTTAATTTATCTGGGTATAGTTATGATACAATATTCTATACCCATTTTCCCTTCAGAAGTAGAATATGTTATGTGATTATTAGATTTATGAATATCTAAGAATTTCTGTGTTCATAATGGGCTATATGAATCTATCCTAAATGAGAGAGGTAAGTGAAATTTCCTCTGGCCACTGTCTCCAGGGTGATCTCTTGATAACACAGCTCTCCTTTGCACTAAACGTGTACACATAAACAAACCTTTATAAGTGATATAGAATTGCGTGTGTTTTCTCACTGCAATAAAATGTTGGATGTAATGTGATAGGTAGGTAAAGCAGAGTATTCTGAGAGTAAGAGCAGTCATTAAAATTTTTTTTGTATTTAAAAAATTTAAAATAAAAATGTGCATATTTTTGGAGTACTTACTGTGTGATGTTTTATTTATTTATTTATTTATTTTGCCCATAATCAAAACTTTATTGAAAAACTGACATCAAAATAGGGGATAACTTGTATACCTTAGAAAATCAAACAAAATTACATTATCTTAGTAGATTCACTAGAATCACTGAACTTATGATAAGGCTTTCTGTGAGAACACAAATCCAGGAGGTTGTGTGGGTCACTAGTGTTGCTTTCTTCTAAAGGAACAGCCTTCTGTGAGTCGGGCCTTTCCTCCTGTAGGCTGGCACAAAACTGTAGAACAGCCTACACAAAGAACCACTGTTTGGGCATGGCTGAAAACCGTGGTGATCTTGTAGCAACCTGGGCATTTTACGTCCATAAAATAAGAATTCGGACTTTGAACTAGCCGTTTCTTTTTATGTTTCTTCTTTTCCTCCTCCAAAGAGGGATGGAGTAAATCTCTAGCCAAGGGCATGTCGGCGGTCCGCGAGCCCGGCGCCTCTCACTGGTTCTGGCTGTGTGTGATGTTTTATTACAAATTGTATAATGCACAATCAGGGTAAATATATTTATTCTTTCAAGTACTTAACATTTCCTTTTTTTAAAAGATTTGTTTATTTATTTGAAAGGCAGAGTTACAGAAGACAGAGGCAGAAAATGGCTGGAGCTGAGCCAATCTGAAGCCAGGAGCCAGGAGCTTCTTCAGGGTCTCCTAAGCCGATGCAGTGGCCCAAGGACTTGGGCCATCTTCCACTGCTTTCCCAGACCATAGTAGAGAGCTGGATTGAAAGTGGAGCAGCTGGGACTAGAACCGGTGCCCATATGGGATGATGGCACTGCAGGCCACAGCAGTGGCCTATACCACAGCACCATTCCCTAACATTTCTTTATAATAAAAACATCCAGGGATGGCATTGTGGCACAGCGGGTTAAAGCCCTGGCCTGAAGCGCCGGCATCCCATATGGGTGCCAGTTCTAGTCCCGGCTGCTCCACTTCTGATCTAGCTCTCTGCTATGGCCCAGGAAAACAGTGGAAGCTGGCCCAAGTCCTTGGGTTCCTGCACCCGTGTGGGAGACCTGGAGGAAGCTATTGGCTCCTGGCTTCAGATTGGCTCAGCTCCGGCCTTTGTGGCCATCTGGGGAGTGAACCAGTGGATAGAAGACCTCTCTCTGTCTCTACCTCTCTGTAAGTCTGTCTTTCAAATAAATAGAATAAATCTTAAAAAAAAAAAAAAAATCCAAGATCTGTCTACTAGCCTTTTTTTTTTTTTTTTTTTTTTTTTTTTGAGTAATCATCTCTGATGGGCCAATCAGAAAAAACTTCAGAGAGAAAATTAATACTTGGAGTAGGTTTAGAAGGTAAGCTAGGTTTTTCCAGGACAGGGAAATACTCTAGGCAGAGAAAGCAGCTTGAGTCAGTATTGCTGTGTTCAGGCATCAAAGTAAGTCTGATAAATTTTGCAGTATTGACAGAATGAGTACTGAGAATGGTTGATAAGGCTGAAGAGAAAACTTGTATATCTAATGTTTATTCTTAACTTCAGAGGCACTACTTTATTTTTAAGGTTACTTGGTTATTGGAACTTAGTAAATAGGTTTTCATATGGTGTGACCTCTCAGAGTTGTTTTTTAATATGCTATTACCCATGTGAATTAAGAGGCTATAACATGCTAGTACAGTAGAAACTTATCTGACAAAAGAACCGACCCTTTTTTGATTTTTGGAGTTCAATTTGGTATTGGGGGAAGTGTGTTATATTGTGGCATCTGGTGGAGGATTAAGTAATCATTAAAATGACAGTTATGAAGACAGGAGAAGTATGGAAAAATACCTTTGTATAGTAAAGAAATCAGAATTCAGATTTGTTTTGATACAGTGATTACAAATGTAAAATATTCATTCATGGCAAATTTTTAATCCATGAAATTGGCAATAGTAAGGTGAAATGGTACTTTTTTTGTAGAGTAGTTGACTCTGATTTATAAACAAATACTTTTTAAAAAGATTTACTTATTTATTTGAAAGGTAGAGTTGCAGAGACAAAGGGAGAGAGAGAGAGAGATCTTCTATTCACTGGTTCACTCCCAAAATGGCTGCAATGTCCAGGGCTGGGTCAGGGGTCTGGGACTCCATCTGGATCTCCCACATGGGTGCAGGGGCCCAAGCACTTGGGCCATCTTTGGCTGCTTTCCAAGGACCATTAGCAGGAGCTTGCTTGGAAGTAGAGTAGCCGGGAATTGAACCAGTGCCCATATGGAATACAGGTGGTAAATTTGTTGTGCCCCAATGCCCTAGCAAATACATCTTTGATCAAGTAGTTCTAAGAATTTATAGTGAGGGCCAGCACCGTGGCTCACTAGGCTAATCTTCCGCCTGTGGCGCCGGCACCCCGGGTTCTAGTCCCGGTTGGGGTGCCGGGTACTAGTCCTGGTTGCTTCTTTTCCAGTCCAGCTCTCTGCTGTTGCCTGAGAGGGCAGTGGAGGATGGCCCAAGTGCTTGGGTCCCTGCATCCGCATGGGAGACTGGAAGGAAGCATCCGGCTCCTGGCTTTGGATTGGCGTGCAGCGCTGGCCATGGCAGCCATTACGGGAGTGAACCAATGGAAGGAAGACCTTTCTCTCTCTCTCTCTCTCTCACTGTCTAACTCTGCCTGTCAAAAAATAAAAAAAAAAAAAAAAAGAATTTATAGTGAAATACTGATTCTGTGTGCACAGATTCATATGTAGAAATGTTGTTTATAATACTATACATACTAGTGAAAACTTGGAAGGACTTTAAATGATAGTTGATAGGAGAATGGTTAAGTACATTAGTATATCTCCAGGCTATGGGCTGGGGTACTCTGTGGTTGTTAAATTTAATTAAGTAGATCTATAGCTGTGACATTGAAGATTAAGTCTTCCACCATGCATTCTTTGAAAAAACAAGTCACATATTTTATAGAGAAAATAAATATTCTTTAATTCTGTCAATGTACTGAATGATATACATTGTATAACTCAGCATATTGATGGACGATCTATAATGATACACAATAGAGTATTAATAGTGATTTCCAGTGGGGTAGTAAGAGTGATCCAGGTGTATCTGTGTGAAATTAGGATTCTCACTTTCACTTTCAATTTTTCTGAAATGATTGAATTTTTAATAATGATTGTGTATTATTTTTACAGCAGTTTTTTCTTTTTTTTTAACTTTTATTTAATAAATGTAAATTTCCAAAGTACAGCTTTTGGATTACAGTGGCTTTTTCCCCCTCATAACTTCCTTCCCACCCGCAACCTCCCATCTCCTGCTTCCTCTCCCATTCACATCAAGATTCATTTTCAATTACATTTATATACAGAAGATCAATTTAGTATATATTAAGTAAAGATTTCAACAGTTTGCACCCACACAGAAACACAAAATGTAAAGTACTGTTTGATGACTAGTTACAGCATTAATTCACATTGTACAACACATTAAGGACAGAGCTCCTACATGGGGAGTAAGTACACAGTGACTCCTGTTGTTGACTTAACAAATTGACACTCTTGTTTATGGCATCAGTAATCACCCTAGGCTCTTGTCATGAGCTGACAAGGTTATGGAAGCCTTTTGAGTTTTCCAACTCCAATCTTATTTAGACAAGGTCATAGTCAAAGTGGAAGTTCTCTCCTCCCTTCAGAGAAAGGTACCTCCTTCTTTGATGGCCTGTTCTTTCCACTTGGATCTCACTTGCAGAGATCTTTCATTTAGTTGTTGTTGTTGTTGTGTTTTTTTTTTTTTTTTTTTTTTTTTTTTTTTTGCAAGAGTGTCTTGGATTTCCATGCCTAAAATACTCTCGTGGGCTCTTCATCCAGATCTGAATGCCTTAAGGGCTGATTCTGAGGCAAGAGTGCTATTTAGGACAACTGCCAATCTATGAGTCTGGACAGCAGTTTTTAAAAACATGCAATGGATAATATATCTAGACAAAATATAATAAAACATTAATGCTTGCATTAGGTTGGTGTGATTGTATCTAATTCTTTTCCCAAAATTGTATAATACAGTTATAAAAAAGAAATATAAATTGTTCAGAGTGTAAATGCAAGAGATTGCAATGTGTATGTTTTTTGTCCTTGCAGTGTTTAAGAATGTTGTGTAATGAAAAAAGGAAAACAGAGAAAGAAATAGAGTGTTGTATTAAAATTTAGTAAGCTTACCCATTTTGAGTTTTGCTTTGCTCTTATAGGTGGACATTTAATCCTGCGGTTCTCACTAAAGCAAACATTGTCCGAAGTGGAGATGCTGCTCAAGGTGCAGAAGGGGGTACCTCGCAGTTTCAAGTGGGTGACCTTGTACAAGTTTGTTATGATCTGGAAAGAATTAAACTTCTACAGAGAGGACATGGTGAATGGGCTGAAGCAATGCTTCCAGTAAGTATATATAAAATAGTTTGACCAGGAATTATATTGTGCTTATGTAGTTTTTAAAAGCGAATTAATTTTAGAAGCTAAATTGGCATGAACCTTCTTAGATTTGTACTCTCAGAGGGCAGCTAAGTATACTTGTGCTTTTTGTTTTTCAGTTTATTTAGATAAAGAAAATTCAGAAAGGGCTGTAGTTAATATTTTTGTTATTTGAAAGATTTATATACTTATTTGAAAGTCAGAGTTACACAGAGAGAGGAGAGGCAGAGAGAGGAAGAGAGATCTTCCATCCGATGGTTCACTCCCCAATTGGCTGCAATGGCTGGAGCTGCACCGATCCGAAGCCAGGAGCCAGGAGCTTCTTTCGGGTCTCCCACGTGGGTTCGGGAGCCCAAGGACTTGGGCCATGTTCTACTGCCTTCTGAGGCCAGAGCAGAGAGCTGGATTAGAAGTGGAGCAGCCATGTCTCGAACTGGTGCAGAAGTGGGTACCTCGCAGTTTCAAGTGGGTGACCTTGTACAAGTTTGTTATGATCTGGAAAGAATTAAACTTCTACAGAGAGGACATGTTTAATTCTTTCTGCTGGTGCTTCAGGCCAGGGCGTTAACCCACTGTGCCACAGCGCTGGCCCTGTAGTTAATATTTGTTTGATAGAGTTGTTAATGGGGAATGTGATAATGGTATATGGCAACAAAGGCTCTCCTGATGCTTAACCTCAGAATGAGATAGAATGTGCTTATCCAGTCTCCAGTGCTGCTGGATGACTATGACTTCCTGCTTTGGGGACCTGTAGATCAATATGTGCACCTTGTGAGGATGCTTTGTTCCCAGACAGCTGTAGTTTGACTTTGTGTTTATTCATCCAATGCAGTTTTTCATGATTAACAACAACAGATAATTTTGTGTATTCTTCCCTTTCTTCATCTACTCTTTCTCTGTCACTTCTGTATTGCCCTGTTTCCTCCTGCTACCCTCCATGCTGTCTTGTCCTTTGCCCTGAAAAGCCCTCCTTTCTGCCCTTTTTCCCTCTCGTCTCATCAAGTCCCAGCTCCCGTCCTATTTGTCCTTCCTTTTGTACCATTTAGTGCTCCTGTCCTGTGCTATGTACTTCCACTCCTGTCCCTTTAGTATCCAATTAACCCTAATATGCTGTGTTGGCCAATCCCTCTCTCCTGGCTAGTTCCACCTTTTCTTTCTACCCAGCCCCAGTTCCTGCCCTAGCTACTCCCTTCTCATCTTATTCTGTCTCTCCTCCCTGTCCTTCTTGTTGTCCTCTTCCCCCATTAGTCCATCGTGTGTCTGTTGGGCTTCAGGGATCCAGTAGTGAACAAAATATAAAAGAAGAAATCCTTTGTGGTAGTGCTTTCATTCTAATTTGTTCAATATTCATGTATGCAAATGTACACAGATACAAGTGTTGTGTTAGCAATATTGTAAGTAGGTGGTGGTATGGCATCCTTAATTTAAAGATGAGAAAATCAGAGCTGAACTGGTGGTCTGGTAACTAGCATCTGGTGCTGCTGTTGCTATAACCTGAGTTTGGCTCCTGATAAGACTTGAAGTAAAACTCTGCACTGGAATTTTGAACCCAAATCTGTTTTACTTTAGAGCCTAAGTACTATTTCTGCTGAATAAAACTGCTGTATAACTAAAACTTCTAGAAAATTTCTAGAAGGGAATTCTGATATTCCGGTAGGTAGTATAGATTTTGAATCTTCTCAGATCCTCTTGATAAAACAAACTACTAGGTTAGTATATCTCCCTCCCTGCAACGAAGTCATAAACGTCTATAACAAAGCTAGAGAGAGTAGTCTGTTGAACCCTAAAAATGTGAATGAGTTGAGATAAGCCACTAACAGCTTCTGGGTCTACATCTGTCTGTGTGGCAGCAGAGTGAATTAATGCACTTCATAGACTTGAGAACAGGAGAACTGACTTCAAAATAGCCAACAAGTATTCCTGGACTAGTGTAGTTTAATAGTACTGTGACAGTTGAACCCAAGAGGAATATTGTGGAGTCCAGTTTGGGATGAAAGAAAATAGGTCCGTGTTAAAGTCTGTAGGGGACGAAAGATTAAACTGGTGGCTGGATGCCTGAGCCTGATTTTGATGTATTTGGGTTTACTTCCCATATCCAGCTCCTGATTCCAATTTCCTGTTAATGTGAACTCAGGTAGGTAACATTGATGGCTCAAATAATTGTGAGACCTGGATTAAGTGCCTGTCTCCCAGCTTTGGCCCCCGGGCCCCTGATGACATTTGGGGAGTGAACCAGTGAGGGAGCTCTCTCTATGTGTCTTTGTCTCTCTGACCCTCAAATTAAAAAAAAAAGTGATAGAGGTAGAGGTTAAAGGTACATATGAATTGGACATACAAGGGAAATGAGACAATGTATTTTAAAAATTTTTTAAAAATTGGCCGGCGCCGCAGCTCACTAGGCTAATCCTCCACCTTGTGGTGTTGGCACACCAGGTTCTAGTCCCATTCGGGGTGCCGGATTCTGTCCTGGTTGCCCCTCTTCCAGGCCAGCTCTCTGCTATGGCCCGGGAGTGCAGTGAGGATGGCCCAAGTGCTTGGGCCCTGCACCCCATGGGAGACCAGGATAAGTACCTGGCTCCTGCCATCAGATCAGCGCGGTGCGCTGGCCGCAGCGGCCATTGGAGGGTGAGCCAACGGCAAAAAAAGGAAGACCTTTCTCTCTGTCTCTCTCTATCTCACTGTCTGCTCTGCCTGTCCAAAACAAACAAACAAACAAACAAAAATTATTTGAGACACAGGAAATGAGGGAGGGAGAACACTCCTATCTACTAGTTTACTGACCAAATGTATACAGTGGCTGGGGCTGGGCCATGGCTGTAGTGAGGAACCAGGATCCAGGAACACAGTTTAGGTCTCACAAGTGGATGGTAGGAACCTAATGATGTCAGCTGTCAATGTTGCCTCCTAGGGTTTGCATTAGAAGGAAGCTGAGTCAGGAGTCAAGAGCCAGGAATGGAACGCAGGTACTCCAGTATGACATGCCAGGTATAAATGTATATACTCAGGGACATTTATATGTAAAAATATTAGAGTAAACCTAACTATTAGGACAATACAGACTTTATATTTTAAAAAGCAAATGATGGAAGGATAGACTGAAATTAAAATGTTAGCTGTATAAAAAGAGAATAAGGATATAGGAAACAAAGGTACAGGAAGATATCTTTAAATGTCTTGTTTTATAAGTTTGATTTGGAACCACACAAAAATTTTATATGATTGTAAAACAAAAATGTAGACGGGAACTCCTCCAAAAGAAGGAAAGTAAAATGAAACAAAGGAAATTAAACTTTTTTTTTTTAAGATTTATTTATTTGAAAGGCAGAGTTGCAGAGAGAGAGAGAGAGAAAGAGATCTTCCATCTGCTAGTTCATTCTTTAAATGGCTGCAACCCCTGGCCAAAGTCAGGAGCCAGGAACTCTATCCGTGTCTCCGTGCAGGGGCCCAAATCTTCCTTGCTGCTCTCTCAGGTACTTTAGCAGGGAGCTCTATTAGAAGTGAAACAGCGGGCACATGAACTGGTGTTTATTTGGGATGCCATTGTCACAGGCTGCAGCTTAACCCTCCATGCCACAGTGCTGACTCCCTAAATGTGTTTCTTATGGACATAACCATACAAGTAGAGAGAGGTACTTTTTAAACTCAGATATTTGTCTTTACAGTTAACTCCTTCTCCCCCTTATCTGTAGTTTCACTTTCTGCTGTTTCAGTTATCTGAAGTTAACTGTAGTCTGAAAATATTACTGCTGTGCAATGAGAAATTAAGGTATTTTGAGATAGAAAGAGAAAGACCACACTCATTTGATTTTTATTATAGTATACTGTTGTTACCCACTTATTTTATTTCTTTTTTTAAAGGTTTATTTATTTATTTATTTGAAAGTCAGAGTTACACAGAGAGAGGAGAGGCAGAGAGAGAGAAGTCTTCCGTCCAGTGGTTCACTCCCCAGATGGCCGCAATGGCCAGAGCTGCGCTGATCTGAAGCCAGGAGCCAGGAGCTTCTTCTGGGTCTCCCATGTGGGTGCAGGGGCCCAAGGACTTGGGCCATCTTCTACTGCTTTCCCAGGCCATAGCAGAGAGCTGGATGGAATAGGAGCAGCCAGGACTCAAACCAGCACCCATATGTGATGCTGGCACTGCAGGCGGTGGCTTTATCTGCTAGTCCATGGTGCTGGCACCTTGGGCCATTTTACACTGCTTTTCCAGTTCCATTAGCAGAGAACTGGATCAGAAATGGAGCAGTCAGAACTTGTACCAGCACACATATGGGATGCCAGCATTGCAGGTGGCAGCTTAACTCACTAAGCCACAGTGCTAGCCCTTACTGTATATCTTATAAGAGGAGTGTTCTCTAAATATGTGGAAAAGGGATATTTGGTGATATTTCAGAATCTTACTGTATGTGATAATGTTGATACCATTTTGAGATTCTTGATTGTGGCAAAAAAGCAAATGTATGTTTTATTCTAATTACATTACCCCGGCAGCCTCAGAACCAAAATTACGAGTGGGAAAAGGAGCTAGAGTTGTAATATAGAAGAGATGAAGCAAAAACTCTGTACTCTTCATGTTGAATTGGAAGAGTGAACTCATGATTTATTTTATCTTTAAAAATATAGTAAGACAAAAATAATCAAAACCAGAAACTCTTATTTTCTACTTTTATCCATGGAACACTCTAGAAGTGGTCACCATTCTAATAACAGTAACAAACTTTAGTGCCTGGATTTATGGCTTTGAAATAGACTTTCCCTAAGTAGAAAACAGTCTCTTTGGAGAACTGGCTTATTTTATCTGTTTTGCAGGAAGTGAACCTCATCCTAGATAGCAGGAAGCTATCAAATGCTTCCAGGCTTATGTTAAGCAGACTGGCAGGCATTTTGAAGGGTTTCATGCTTAACCAAATACAGAGGGCAGGTGAACCTATTAAGCTACACCAATTAGAAAAATTCAAGCCAAGATGGCG